ATCCCCCTACATCCCACCCAGACCCATCCCCCTAAATCCTACACAGACCTATCCCCCTACTTCCCACCCAGACCCATCCCCCTACATCCCACACAGACCTATCCCCCTAATGTGTCAGCTGCACTAGGCAGTCAGAGTAGGATTCTCTCCACATACAAGGTAAGGGGGCAAAGGTTGGGCAATATACCACCAGACTAGATTTTTTCTGCCCTGTTGTGGCCACTTTCCCTCTGACAAAGAGGCAGATGTTAAGAGTAATGAATGTGAGTGGTACCACTGTCACTTTTGACGGAAGTGGCAGTTTACCTGAGTGAGTGAGCAGGGAACACAGATGCCATGCAGAGTTCATGGTGTTGGACGTTGGGCTGGGTGAGAGCAGATGGGGAAGATGTTGCAGGCGATAGTGAGATTGGTAGAGTGTGAGACTTGGTGGGAGGTAGATGCAGTGGCAGAGATAGACCCAGTATGCAGTATCATAGAGAAGGGAGAAGGTGGTGCCACTTGTGCTGGTGGAGTAGAGAAGGTCATTGACCTTCTTCTTACACTGCTGCGTAATCCTTCAGAATGTTGAGTCTGTACTGACCTGGGTGGCAACCTCAGACCAGGCTGGCACGGTTTGATGTCACGGCCTCCTCTGCGGGTCCTGGGGGCAGTAGAGGTCCCACCTGTGCACTACCCCATTCAGCCAGATCTCTGTGTCCCTGCCTGCAAAGCCAGGCATCAACTTTCCCTTGTCAGCCATAATGGGGCAAATGTCAGAAAACAAGCAGGACAGCACTGAACTTGTCCGGACACTCAGTATCCTTATAAAGGTGACACTGGTGCCAGGGAAGCACCAATTCCAGGATATCCCGGCAGTGGTAATATAGGGCTGGGATTGGATATAAAGGACGCTATAGGGCAGGGTAGGTAGTTAAAGAAGTGAGTTTGTTAAGATGTGGTTAGAAAACTTACTAAAGCCCACAACAAAAAACGCTCGCAAATAAAAATGCAACTCGCATTTCACCAAAAATATATAAGATTCAGCCCATTGTGTCTATACTTCCTGTTAATACTTCGGTAGATGTTGGATGCAACCAGATCTGGATCTTTTACAGTTATCAAAACTTAGTGGTATAGATTCATGCTGCAATGTGATACCTGTATTCATGGTTCGATGTGTATCATTGGTTGTGGATGCATGACTGTCGCCTGGCATGATATCTTCAGTATCTTAGTGAATATCCTCTGTGATTCATGGTTAATGTATGCAATTCTGATACCAAATAACTCTTTATAGGACTTGACCATTGCTGATTACATCACCATATGACTTGTGCTTGCACCCGAACTACATATTTTTCCATGAGCCCATGTAGTCGTGACAAGAATGTCAAACTTGTAAGCTTTGCTTGGGTTCAAGTTGGGAAACTGTCTGCATTCTCTTGTGCTCTTGTATCACTTTCTCCTTTCATTCCAACAATGAGTCTTGCATAAGTCTTGTTAGGTGAGACAAGCTACATCTCATGGATGTTTTGTTGAACCTTTTAGCAGCCACAGTAGTTGCAGAGTCAAGCACTTTTACATGCTGCTGGCCTGCTGCAATTACTTCAAACTTGCATCTTTTTTTTGCTAAAGCATCAATGGAAAATTCTGAGACAGTAGGAACTGCCGATGCTGGAGAATCTGAGATAACAAGGTGTAGAGCTGGATGAACACAGCAGGCCAAGCAGCATCAGAGGAGCAGGAAAGCTGACGTTTTGGGTGTGGACCCTT